TAATCAAAAGATTCTCAATACTCATTTAAAATTTTACCACCACTTCGTTAATATCTCATAATGTCAATAAACCTCTAGAGGTCCCTACAGAGGGCCGAAGAGAATATCCCACTTCAGAGGTTCCCCAATGATATCTACACCCAACATTGTCAATTACTTCCAATTTCATTTTCTGAATGCACACCATCAACGAACACTTATCTCTAAACAACCTTTGTACCTCCCTCCTATTTACCCAACCACTTAACCGTCTCACATTAAAAGAAATAAGTTTCATTATTACCACCCAACTCCCTCTCCACAACCCCAAAACACCCTATTTTAAAGCATTATTTTCTATCAAATATCTCTCCCCCCTTACCACCCTCACATCCTCCCTCCTTCTTAATCCCATCACCTCTGCCTCTTAACAAAACACTGAACATATTTGAACAATCACTTTTAATCTTTAACCTTATAGATTTTCCAATTACACAAACATCATCAACAACCTTCCGAGGTTTACCATGAATCGTCATCCAATTTTTCCAATCCTCATTAGAACCTGAATCCTTAGAACCCACAAACAAAGAAACCCCTTCCTTTTACTTATAAGAAAACCTCGACGAACAGCTAGAACAATTTTTCTTTTTTTTTATCCTTAAGGGATCTAATTAAATCAAATCTATATTTAGTTGATAACATTGCCACTCTTTTTAGACCAAGAGCAGACGATACCAATTTCTTGTTACGAGATTTACGCATACACCTTCTTTTCTCTAACTCACTGTGACTAGTTCCAAGTTTATTACCCCCAGACCATCATTCCTCCATTTTTTCTTTCTTTTTGGTAAATTCATAACTCCAAGGACCATACGTATTAGATGAAGTTTTTAACATGAAACCTTCTTAAGGACGACCTCATCACTTATTCGCATGTCATTTGCACCTGTTGACCATTCAGCGTGGAGTTGATTCACAAGATTATCAACCAAGGGCGCATCTTCAAACTTGCAGCCCAATTTAGTACTATGAGACTCATTTCCTCCTCAACTAAACATGTGTCATTTGCTAAGCCAAACTCTAAATCTTCCCCAAATCTAATAGGATATTTTTTCCGTCAACCCACAAATCATCTACCTCATTTATTTCCCCTACCAATTTTGTAGTGATCAAAATACAAGCATAGTCCAACCTCCATTTATTAATAGTGCATTCATCGATTTTCAACAATCTTCCTTTAAGCGCAATAAGTTCCCCAACAAAACATCACATTCCATGAATGTAACGGTATCCATAACAACAAGCCCACGTCACTCTTTCATAAACCAAGTCACCATCCTTCGACTAAGCACGACAATCATACGCAAAAGAACTAAAAAAACTAACTGCTTTATTAAAAGCTGACATCACCTCCATTTTACCCATAAAATACAAAAGTATTTTGACTCCTCCAAATGGTGCCATCATAAAATCATGAAACCCAACATCTGAGATAGACTGTTGAATAACCGGAACGCTAACACCATTTCAAAACCAATCCACCATACCGTAAAATGTCCATTAAATGTATTCATGTACAATGTCGTAAATTTTATCAACCAGAACCACCTCTGCATTCCCATCTTTGACCACCTATACATTCTTACAATTCCCCTTATCAGTAAGTAATGTGTTCTCCTTCATCTCCTTTAACACCTTACTTACGACCTCCTCATCAGGCACCACTATAAAATTTTCCTTTTCCTTTTCCCTCATAATTGCTTTCTCATTCACTCTCTCCAACTCCTTATTCATACTAATCCCAAACTCGTTCTTCTTTCTCCCACCCTCCCTCAAATATTTTTTGTCTTCAAATTCAACATTTTTTCTCCCTTCCCCTTACTAAAGTTTTTCCTACCAAACTTCTCAAACCTATCATAATGAGCCACATTTGCAAACAAATGATAATCTCCAAAATAAATGTTATTTAAAGCTTTGCCCAAATCTTGCACACCCCTCAATTGACCCCTTGCATTTCTATTTATAGAAATAAAACATCAAATAGAACTTCACATACTAAAAATCATCAGGAAAATTGGAAAAATAGAAATAAGTCAATGTTTTCCGAGTACTAGATTTTGCGTAACTCAAATCCCTACGCGTACATGATCTTCCATACCAACAACATTCTCAAAATGACCAAACTAAAATCTATTTTGAATTGCACCATCAGGGAAGCCACCCATCTCCTATAACTCATCGAAAATATGCCGCATATATGATGTTCTCACGATTCTTTGCCTATGAAACTTTCGCTTTTACTTTCTTTCTGTCGTGCAAAAACCGTAAACCTATCATATCCTTGAGCTTTCGGTCGAAATGATTTTCAATGTCTAGCCCAAACCTCAGTTCATTCTCCCTGTTTCCCCTATTTGTGCCACCTTGGCTGAATTCCTCTATCCCTTTACTCTTCGCCGCCGAATGAGAGTTGTCTGCTGGCGCGGTTAAATCCCTAGCATTTATTGTTATCATTTGTTGTTGATTTTTTTTTCTCTCAACAATGGATTACTACTATCATTTTTAATTTAATTTATGTAATTAACAATTTGTAAAATATATTATATTATAAGTTTCATATCTTATCTATCTTTTATTTAAATAAAGTTGAAATTATTCATCACAAAAATTAATTGAAAAAATAGAAGGATTTTTATTGAAAGAGTTTTGAAAGATTTGTTTTTTTAGTCAAAACACCGAAAACTCTTTAATCTGAAAAATTAAAATTCATATTGAATTAGAGTTTTAGAAAATTGAAATAAATTGTTCAAATATAGTTTTTGTTATTATAATATTTTAAAATTTAAAAAATATTAATAATAAACATAATTTTACTATTTTAAACAAAATCTTTTTTTAAAAAAATATTAAAGGTTGTTCTATTTTTTCAAAAAAATTATTTTTCAAAACCCTTTCATCCCCTCTAAACTCCTAAGCAAAGCTAATATATATATATATATATATATATATATATATATATATATATATATATATATATATATATATATATATTAAGTGTTACACCTCTCTTTATTCAAAGGTTCACATAAATTTAAGACAAAAAAAAATTAAAATTTAAACTATATATTATATTAAGTTAGTCACCTTTTCAAAACGGTGCATTTTAAAATTATCAAAAATAATTTAGACTATGTAATCCGATCAAATATGTGTTAAGAATTCACATGAATTTGAGATAAATTGATTAAAAAATATTAATATAAAAAATTTAATTGAAAGAAATTTTATACTATCAATAAATCACAACCATTAAATATTTATAGATGTTTGATTTTTCTAAACACATATAAAATATGATTTATAAATAATTATGATATATGGATCATGTAAAATATTTTATAATGATGATGCATACAATTATTCTCTAACATAAATTCATACTAATTATATAAAATTATTTTTTATATTTAGCCAATCAAACTATTCCATGATATTATTTTTAATCACATATAAAATTTATGAATGATTGTGACGTGATCGAGTAAAATATTTTATACTTATTATGGATAACAAATATTCTTTAATATAAATTCACATTAATTATATAAAATTATCTTTTATATTCAGCCAATCAAATTATTTTATAATATTATTTTTAATTAGAGTTTAATTGATATGCACTATAAAATAATTTTACCCTGTCATTTAATAGAAATTTATCCATCAACCTATCATATCTTATAATAAATTTAAAATTTAGAGTTTGATGTGGCGAAATACATGATAGTGATTATTTGATAGTATAAAATTATTTTACAATATCAATGCATATCTCATTTTTTTAATTAATCTTAAAAATTATATTAATAAGTATTTATTTAACCCAAATTAATTGCATCACCAGTAAAAAAAAATAACGGGATCAAATTATTTCAAGAGTAAATTTTTTTAATTTTTTTCTACATCATAGTTTTTAAATTGAATCTAATCTAATAGTTAAATTAATATTTTTATTTATAATTATTCAATTAAATTAAATTTAAAAATTATGATTGTGGAATAAATTATAAAAATTTACTTTTAAAGTAAATTGATCCTTATTAAAAATAATTAATATTTTATATTTTTATTAAACTTTTATTTGATTTAAATTACTAATATGATACAATAAATATTTGAATATTTTGCATGATAATACTTTATTTTACTTTTAGAAAAATAATCTAACTTTTGTTACTAGATTCAACAACTTAATTAAAAGCGCCATAAGAAAAAAAAACAACTTAACTAAAATAAATTACTATTATAAAGAAAACACAACTTGTTAATAATGATTAGTTGCAACGAATTTCACCTAGGCCCAAGGTGATAGTCGGCATAAAACAAAAATATTAAAATAAATTATCATAAAATCTTATGATATGATAATATTGATTAACTATTATACACTGTGAATAAAATCTTATACAGTAAATCCAATAAACCCATAACAATCAAAACTAAAATATATTCAAAATTATTGGTTAATTATTATTTTAAATATAATCAAAACAAAAATCAAATCATTATAATTGATTGATAATACTAAATTGAATTTAATTAAAATACTATCAATTAATTATAATGGTTGATTAATTTAAAATAATATTTTTTATTTTTTTATTTTGATATACTATCTTCTTTTTCTTTTGTGTAACAAACATAAAATAAAATAAAATAAAATCTGTTTATTTAGTATAGCGTTATTTACGAAACCGCCATATAATAGTTGTGTTTCCACCTATATAAATAGCGGTTTCTCCTCTACCAAATGCCACCTTTCTTAGGAAAAACCGTTGTCACTCTTGTTTTCTCTTTGTACTTTTCTCTCTCGCCGCACCTTCTTTTTCTTGACTTCTTCGCTTTTTCCTTCCTCGCTACAATCGCTCTACCATATATCTCATCAACACACTATCACTTTCTTCATTCTTCCTATCCAATCCTACTGCTACATTCTTTTCATCATCATCATCATCATCATCATGATTTCGCAACTCAATTTCACTTCTTCTTCATTACCTTTTACCCCGCTTTCTTCCTCCAAACCTAAACTTTCCACAACGCACACTTTTCACAATGTTGCCAAAAACACTATACATTTTAAGCCGCTGTACCTTTCGTCCACTCAGAATTTCAGTTTCAGTTTCGCCACTGCCAAGAGGGGAACAGAGTGTCATGCATATGAAGCAGATAGGTCAGACTCAGAGCCATTGGCGGTTAACTTTGATGTTCCTGTTGAACCGGTAGCTCAGAAGATGAAAATTGGTTTGTATTTTGCTACATGGTGGGCTTTGAATGTTGTGTTCAATATTTACAACAAGAAGGTTTTGAATGCGTTTCCTTATCCATGGCTTACTTCCACTCTATCACTTGCTGCTGGTTCTCTCATTATGTTGGTTTCATGGGCTACAAGAGTTGCTGATGTTCCAAAAGTTGATTTCGAGTTTTGGAAGGCTTTGTTTCCGGTAAGCATGCAATGTTGTTTCGTTTTTTATCAGTATCATGTTGACCGTAACGTGTTTGAATGAATGATTGAAGGGTGAATTTGAATTGTAGGTTGCAGTGGCACATACAATTGGTCATGTTGCAGCTACTGTGAGTATGTCCAAAGTTGCAGTTTCTTTTACACATATAATTAAAAGTGGAGAACCTGCTTTCAGTGTTTTGGTATCGAAGTTCTTGCTTGGTGAATCTTTTCCTTTGCAAGTTTATCTTTCACTGTTGCCGATTATTGGAGGTTGTGCAATTGCTGCTGTCACTGAACTTAATTTCAATATGATCGGTAAGACTATAGATATTCACTTATTTACATGGTTGGTTTTCATATGTTGATTGTGTTCTCTTAGAGTAGATTGAATTGTTAATAGGATGCTAAACTATGTATTACTGATACACTTTCGATCGATTGAAGGACGTGTCTGGTGTCCGATACAACACCAACATATATAGTTCTATTTTCTCATATTATTATTATTAGATATTAAATTTGTCTGTGCTTCGTAGATATTAAATTTGTCTGTGCTTCGTAGATATTAAATTTGTCTGTGCTTCGTAGTCGTAGATATTATATTTGTCTGTGCTTCGTAGTCGTAGATATTAAACTTGTCTGTATTTCGTAGATATTGTATTTCGTAGATATTAAATTTGTCTGTGCTTGTATTAAATTTGTCTGTGCTTCGTAGTCGTAGATATTAAATTTGTCTGTGCTTCGTAGATATTAAATTTGTCTGTGCTTCGTAGTCGTAGATATTAAATTTGTCTGTGCTTCGAAGACACTAAATTTGTAGTTTTTTTTTATTAATCTTATGTGTTTCAGGGTTTATGGGAGCTATGATATCCAATGTGGCCTTTGTGTTTAGGAATATATTTTCAAAGAAGGGAATGAAAGGAATGTCTGTTAGTGGAATGAACTACTATGCTTGCCTCTCTATATTATCTCTATTGCTTCTCACCCCTTTTGCTATTGCTGTCGAAGGACCAGCGATGTGGGCTGCTGGCTGGCAAACAGCAGTGTCTCAGATTGGTCCCAATTTTGTTTGGTAAGTAGATCATATAAATGCTTATTTGTATAACCAATATATGGAAACATGCTAAAATATGACTTGTGAACATGTCATAAGTTGTTTCTATAAACTCTTTCAAACAATCTCACAAATGCTTATTTTGTAGATTAGTTCAAATAATTCAATTCAAACATGTCCTTATTGGAGCTGTTATATAGTTTTTTGCATGTACCGTTGGATTTATACATATATAATATTCTGTAGTGATTGTGAAGTGTTTGAATAATGATGAACTTGTGGGTTGTAATTCTTACAGGTGGGTAGCTGCACAGAGTGTATTTTACCACTTGTACAATCAAGTATCTTATATGTCTCTTGATCAGATTTCTCCATTAACATTTAGCATAGGGAACACAATGAAGAGAATCTCGGTTATCGTCTCTTCCATCCTTATCTTCCGCACCCCAATTCAGCCAAACAATGCCCTTGGAGCTGCCATTGCAATCCTTGGCACCTTCCTCTATTCACAGGTCCATTCCCATCTGTTTTTTTTTCTTATGCAGTAGATGCTTTTGTCTGTCAAAATCACATTCACTATTCTTTAATCTGCTATATATAAAAGTTATACGCATTTAACTAACCTGTGAAAGAAAATTAAATTCAGTATAAGCATTCACTATTGTTGATGTTTATTCATTATATATTTGCCTGTCATGAAAAAACTATATTTCTTGATACTTGTGACACATCTGATATACTCTTTCTTTTAATATTATTTGAGCAGGCTAAACAGTAATGTGTGTAGTTTGGAAGCTTCTCTATGCCTAAGGCAATGTGAGTGAGGAATCAATTCAAGGCTGAAGCTCCAAACAAATGATATTACTATTGTTGCTACTGAGAAATTATATATTTATTAATGAAGTTAATAGAAGTTCAAGCTGCTTTATTTGTGGCCATAGAGTTATAGTAATCTTAATCACAATTCAATTTTGTTTTCACTTTTTTAGTCTAAATGAGTTTATTGTTTCTTTCCTGTAATCAGAGGTTAAAATAATGTACTGCAGTAAATAAGAACAATGCGTCAGAATTTTGCATGTTGAGGCTTTCTTTTATATATTTTCAATAATTGTCTTTTTTTGTTGTTGTTGAGAAATTACAATAGTTGATGCTGATAGTTAACAATATGTTGTTGATGTGTTGAAAAATCAACAATAAGTTGTTCTAATAAACATAAAATCAATGATTAATTTATTTTGATTTGTATTGAATTTAGATAAACAGATTAGCAGAAATACAAATAATGATTCTTATCTATTAATCAATTACGTTTGAAAATGATTGACAGTAAATGTCCTTTTCTATTGGTCCCAGTAGTAGGTGCCAAGTTGATTGTAATCCATTTAACAAGATTATGAAGTTTGTATTGACAATATTAATTGAGATTAGGACTATTCCAATATAGAGTTATCTACATTTCACAAAGCTGTTGCGTCTATGGAGAAAATATTACTACTCTTTTTGATATTTACAATCACACCATATGCTCTTGGAGATGCTTCTCCTTTTCCCAGTAACTTTCTCTTCGGCACTGCTTCTTCTTCCTACCAGGTTTCTTTTGTTTTCTTATTCTTCATGTTTATCTCTTAATTAATCGCGGCTGATTATTACGTTAAATATTATTATTGTTATAGTATGAAGGTGCTTACTTGAGTGATGGCAAAGGTTTGAGCGTCTGGGATGTCTTTACTCACAAAGCAGGTAGTACTTCTGATGGAAGTAATGGTGATGTTACAGTTGATCAATACCATCGGTATCAGGTACACATGATAGACTTCACTTCGATATAATACATACCTGATTATCTACACATTCTATTTACCTGCAAGTGGACATTATTTGGTAAGTGACTTTATACGGCCAAAAATTATAACTAATATAATTAGAGTTTAACTCATATACAGTGTTACGGTAATCTACACTGTCAAATGTTTGTATAGTGCCCTATTTAGCTTAATTCATTACATCAATTATAGATGCTCCAAATTTCAATTTTGTAATAAAAACAGGAGGATATAGATTTAATGGAAGCTATCAAAGTCAACAGCTACCGGTTTTCGATTTCATGGACACGGATTCTACCAAGTATGCATTACTTTAACAAAAACTTGTGATTACAATTAAGAAGTTTTTACTGTAGTCAATTCACAAGCAAAATTTGCAATGATTATGAGCAGAAGGTAGATTTGGAGAAGTGAACTTGGCTGGTATCGACTACTATAATAGGCTTATTGATGCTTTGTTACTTAAAGGTTTAATTTCAATCTTCCTACTATGGCATGTGACACAGAGAAGAGGTGTAACAGATTGATTAACTATTGATTATGTTAATCCGTGTTTATAAAATTTGCAGGGATCCAACCGTTTGTTACATTGTTTCACTTGGATTTACCTCAAGAACTTGAGGATAGATATGGAGGTTGGCTAAGTCCCCAATCACAGTTAGTAACTAATTCTACAATTCATTTTCCTCATATTTTTTCAACACCTTTACCATAGTTTATCATAATTAACATTTTTTTTCTTCCTAGAAGAACTTTGGCTTAAGAAAAAAGACAAGACAATGGTACTAATATATTTTGACATGTGCAGGGAAGATTTTGTGTTATTTGCAGAGATATGTTTTAAATCCTTTGGCGATAGAGTTAAGTACTGGGTCACATTCAATGAGCCAAATTATCATGTTTCACTTAGTTACCGTAAAGGTAAACTCCCGCCATGTCACTGTTCTGGAAAATTCGGAAATTGTAGCGAGGGAGATTCAGAGAAGGAGCCCTTTGTGGCAGCCCATAATATTATTCTGTCACATGCAACTGCAGTTCATATTTATAGAAACAAATATCAGGTAATTTATTTTCTAAAAAGACCTCGCGACTTTGTAGTAGCTTTATGATGTCAATTTTACAAATCAAAGTGGAAAGTAAGTGGGACTTAACATTCATTCAAAACATTATAAAATAAAGTTGCTTTATTTTCAATGGTACGTCCAGACCGAGCAAGGCGGAGAAATTGGCATCATCGTACACTCTGACTGGTTTGAGCCGTTAAGTGATTCAGTAGCAGATCAATTAGCTGCTGAAAGAGCACAATCATTTAGCATAAACTGGTAGAGTTTCTTCATTTTTCATGGCTCATTCAATTTCTACCAACCAAAGTTGGAATTGGATTTCGTGTTTTCACATAGCACATATACACCAGTTTGAACGGTCATATCAAGATTGAACAACTCATGGTTTGACTTTTTATATTTTGGCCCGATTTACCTAAGTCAGAACACGAGACTGAAATTTTGATCAGCCAGTCCAAATCGCATGATTGCGTCGAATGCATGATTTTCTATGTTTAAAAAATCTACCTGATCACACAAAGTTTGATTCTATAATAATGCAGGATCTTGGATCCAATCTTATTTGGTAAGTACCCAAAAGAGATGGAGACTATTCTAGGAAGCATATTACCCGAATTTTCCGCTGTTGACATAGAAAACCTGAATCAAGGACTCGATTTCATTGGCATCAATCATTATGCAAGTTACTATGTCAAAGACTGTATATCATCAGTGTGCGAGTCTGGGACAGGAACCTCCACAACAGAGGGTTTATTCCTACAAACTGCACAAAAAGACGGTGTACCAATTGGAGAGCTTGTAAGCACTTCGTTCTTTTGACGATCACATTCCTTACATTTTTATTCAACCTTGCAGGACCAACACAATCCTTAAACTTGTATTGTTATATGCAGACACCGTTTGATTGGCTCAATGTTTACCCACAAGGCATGAGGAAAACTGTTAACTACATAAAAGATAGATTCAATAACACTCCAATGTTCATTACTGAGAACGGTAAGCAAAGAAGCGCATCAAATTTGAACCTTTTTTTACAACATTTTGAATCTCTTGACTGATTCTATCCCAATGTTTTTGTAGGATATGGGAATTTGTATGATCCAAATAACACCAAAGAAGAATATCTTAATGATGTTAAGAGAGTAAACTACATGTCTCGCCACTTAGATAATCTAGTGACATCATTGAGGTAAGAATCTACAAAATCTGAGTAAAAAATCAAGGAAGAGTAAGTTAATGATATTTGTATGTTGGTTATGTGATTATAGGGAAGGAGCAGATGTGAGAGGTTACTTTGTGTGGTCATTGCTCGACGATTTTGAGTGGACATATGGATTTTCAGTGAAATTTGGACTTTATCATGTTGATTTTACCACACAGAAGAGAACTCCAAAGTTGTCTGCTAGCTGGTACAAACATTTCATTGCTATGCATAAAACTGAGAGCATTAGTCCCGAACGCGACACAGAGATGAGATACTCGAACAAACTGCTTAGAACGGGGTAGAATGAAAAACATGGATTAAATTGTTTCAATTGTTGAAGTGTAATTGAAGTTTAGGTGATTTAGTTAAGTTACTTGTCACAACACAAGTAACTAAATAAGTTGGTTAAGTTGTTGGGTCTCATTACTATTTATAAATCCAACTCGTGTTGTATAAAATTCTATTTATCAAACCTTAAACAAAATTAATTAAATATTTGATTTCAATCTCATAATTCATTTATTAATTATTTGAAATAAATTATTTTGTTAACTCTAACCGTGCTCCACGTGACAAATAAATTAATAGCAGTATACTATATAATAAGAACACAATAACTCAAATCATGGAGGACATTAATTTAAAGCCAAAAAGATGGTAAGATTGTTATTGAAAACTCTGTTTCTCGAGATATTGTTGCTTCTTCCACTTTCAAGTGCTGTGGATGATGATCTCTCTCTATTCCCTAAAAACTTTCTGTTTGGATCTGGTTCTTCTTCTTATCAGGTATTAATTAATACTATACAGTTTATAACTAATCGAAATTAAACTCAATTAATTTATATATATATTAAATGAATGTTGTTATTACAGTATGAAGGTGGTTATAACATTGATGGCAAGGGGCAGAGTAACTGGGATAACTTCACTCACGGAGGAGGTAACTATTTATAAATATAGGAATTAAATGTTACAAGTTGATTCTTAAATTGTTTGAGAGAGTTAGATTTATGAGTAATTTGCAGGTAGAAGTATGATAGTAGATGGAAGTAATGGAGATATTGCGGTGGACCATTATCATCGTTACAAGGTTGGTTGGTACCTTCTATTATAATTTTAAGGGTCATACTAACCAGTGCCTTCAGGGCACTAGTTAAAAATTTCAAATAAAAAAAAAATGTTATATTTAGTTCACTCAATACACACAATATTCTTTAAAAGATCTGATTATTTCTTTTTTCAGGGCATTGAATACACATATATTTAGAAAAAAAAATGTATTTTCAATCTCTTAAATAATGCTCAACTTACCATTTTAATCTCTTAACCAATGCCCTGAAGGCACTCGTTAGCATTTTCCTAATTTTAAACACGAGTGATAAATTGTTTAATTCAGAACAGTAATATTAACAACAGTACAAAACAATAGCATATTAGCATCATGTTTTCATAAAAATGGAAACTATTTTAAAAACACTTGGGGCCTATTTGATTGGCTTTTTAAAAACAGTTTTCTCTTTTCCAAAATTTAAAAACTAAAAAATTTGTTTGGCTTGTATTTTTAAAAAATTGTTTTTAAAAACTGTTTTTAAAACTCAAAAACGAAAACAGCTACAATCTGTTTTGCATTTCACTTTTGAGTATTTGATCCATTTCTAAAACTAACACGGAAAAAACCATTAATTTTCATTAATAACATATAAATATGTTGAATCTTTGTAGACAAGTGGTGGTTTATTATGAGTATCTCTTCTAGTTTATATTTTAACTTGTAATAGATTCTAAGAAATTGTTCCAGTTTTTTTTTATATATTATAATTAAATTATATAATAATATAATATAGTAATAATATTATATTAACAACAATAATTACCCTTAAAATTTTGATTTAACTTTCAAACTTTTTTAATTTAACATTATAATACTTTATTTTATTTTAGTAATTATTACTCAATTCTTATAAATATAAAGCACCATTTAAAAAATTAAATATAAATACTATTTTAACTTACAATATATATTTATTAAAACTTAAAATATATAAACTCAATTTTCACTATATAAAAACGAGTATAGATTATTAATTAATTATTTATAAAATAAGATTTAGACATAATTGTAATATTATTCCTCCTATTTTATCGAATATAGGAAACTCGTTTTTATATTTTAAACTCATAGTTTTGCTCTCTTTAAAATTTTTACATTTAAAATTAATGGTATATTTAGTTTGTGTTGATCAAGTGACGTCAAGTACACGAGAGAGTGAATTATGTTGATTAAAAAAAGATGTCTAATTATAAAAAAAAATTTATAAAATTTTTTAACTTAATTTTATAAAACAAATAGAGAATAAGTACTAAAATAAATAAAATAGAGATGGAGAGAAAGAAATACAACTTAAAAAAATAAAGTATAGAAGATGCACAAATTAATATTATTATTCTTTTTTAAATTGAAGATGCACTCGAAATATATATTTTAAAATTAAATCATTCTATTATATAGTATGAATATTAATTGAATAATAGTGAACTTTTTTATAACTTGATATTTGACCATGACACACTAACAAATGTATTTAACTATAAAAATATATATATATATAGTGATATCGAGATCTTCTTATAAAAGATGGGATAAATGACTTAAATAATATATATTAAATAATATAAAAAATTTTAGTGCCAAATATCTTTTTCAATTCTCTTAAAAACAGTTTTTTAAAATTTAAGTGCCAAACAAAGTTTTTCATTTCTTCATCTTTAATACAATTTTATTAATTTAAGTGCCAAACAATTTGTTTTTCACTTCTCTTTTTAAAAACAGGTTTTCAAAATAATTTTTAAAAGTAAAAATAAAAAATAATTCAAACGGACCCTTATATTCTTATAATCCATTTTTGAAGGCAAAATATGGACCCTTATATTCTTATAATCCATTTTTGAAGGCAAAATATATACAGTAAAAACTCTTTAAATTAATAATGTCAAGATCAGAGAAATTTATTAATTTAGAGAGTTATTAATTAATTAATAATTATTAATTTAAAGAGTTTTTAAGTAATTATACTGTACACACTAAACGAAAAGGCAAATTAGTCTATGTCTTTTAGAATTACGTTGCAGCGAACCATGGGATTCAACGTAAATTAGTAACTACTGTGTTCGTATGCATTGGAAATCAATAATAACTTTTGAAGTACACTAAATGTAAACAAGAGGAACAAATGTGTTCAATGTATTCTTAAGCAAGTTTGCTATATATAAATTACATGAATGTGTTAGAGTATTCAAACCATATCTCACAAAATGGCTTCTTATCTAAAAGGTGTTGCAAAATCAACTATGTCAGATCAAATATGTAAGGAGTTGTGTGAGTACAAGAGAGATAATCCTGCAAGCACACAAAAAGACTTGTAGAGATGGCTTGAGGGAAAATTTCAGTTGAAAGTTAGTCAAGAAACAATATCAAACACACTTAAACGGTCAGATGACTATCTCTCTTCTGAAATAGAAAAGGGAAGAGTAGAGATCAAAAGACACAAACCAACAAAATATCCTGACATGGGGAAGGTTGTTTATGAGTGGTTTCTCCAGTATCAAGAACGTGCGAATATCTCAGGAGAATTAATTTTGCAGAAGGCAAGAGATACAATAAATATCGTGTACCCTCATGATGATTCAGATTTTAACTTCTCTATAGGATGGCTTGGGAAATTCAAGAACCGACATGACATAAAGTCATTTCGTCGTTTTGGCGAGAGTGGGTCTGTTGATGTACAAGACATGGAGCAGAAATTGGTATCGATTCGGGAGAAAATTGATTAGTTCCCTATGAAAGATGTTTTCAATATGGATGAAACTGGGTTGTTTTATAGGCTACAAGCTGATCATTCACTGACAACAAAACAACTTGAAGGAAGAAAATAAGATAAAGAAAAGATGACGGTAGTTATTTGTTGCAATGAAGATGGCTCTGAAAAAAATCCCTCTATGGATTATTGGGAAATATGCAAAGCCTCGTTGCTTCAAGAATGTCAGTATCGAGCTAACAAAAAAGCATGGATGACTAGTGTGCTTTTTGATGAATATGTTCGTTCATTTGACCAAATGATGCATGGTAGAAGAGTTCTACTTGTGGTGGATAATTGTCCAGCACATCCAAGAAATATTGAAGGGCTAAGAAACCTTCAGTTGTTCTTCTTGCCACCCAACATGACATCAAAGATTCAACCTTGCGATGTTGGGATAATAAGAGCTTTCAAGATTCATTACCGTAGAAGGTTTTACCGCAAAATATTGGAAGGTTATGAGGTGGGACAATCTGATCCAGGAAAGATAAATGTCCTTGATGCTATCAATTTGGCAATTCCAGCTTGGACGATAGATGTTCAAAAAGAAACAATAGCGAATTGCTTCCGACACTGTAAAATTCGTTCAGCTAGTGACGTTGCAAGAAATTTGGATGAATCCACTTTTGATGAAAAAACTCAAGACCTCGACACTATGATCAATCAATGTGGCTATCGTAATAAGATGGATATCGACAATCTAATGAACTACCCATGTGAAAATGAAGCATGTTCGAAGGTTCAGAGTTTAGAAGATATTGTGGGTACTATCATTGAGAACAATGCAGAAGATGACGACGAAAATAATACGGTGTCTTTGGAGCCTGTTGCGCGAAAGGAAACACTTATGGCGTCGAACACTCTTCACAACTTTATGATACAATACAAAAATATAACACCTGGACTATTGAATGCAATAAGAAAAGTTAGAGATAAGCTCCAAATAGACTCGAACTTTAAAGGAAAACAGATAACTATTGAATCATATTTCAATAGAGTGTAATATATTTTTTTAAGTTTCTATGAATTATTAATTTATGATTTTCTTGAGACTGAAAATTATAAAGGGATCTCTCGAAAAATTATTATCTTATTATTTTATTGAGTTTTTCAATTTTTTACATTGGTCCAAATCGGGACCAGACAAATTTATTATTTTAGAGAGCTTATTAATTTAAAGAGTTTAAAGAGTTTCTACTGTATCTTAATGAGTTTAAAAAAACACACACGCATATATATATATATATATATATATATATATATATATATATATATATATATAATTGATGAAATATTAATATTTTAAAAACAAACGCGTAATTTAATAAGATATACCTCTTTCCTGTGTAAAAGGATTTTAGTTGCACTCCATTTTCCAATTTTTCTATCATGATCTATAAATATTTTTAAGTCACTTTTATAAATTATCCATTTGTCTTAAATTAATG